GAGCTATGCCTTATTTAGAAACTTAATTTAAGTTTCAAGCAAAACTCATTTGTTCGTAGGGCCTAATTTACTCGTCACGCTTATCTGTGGAATTCCGACACTGTGCGGCTCATGCATTCACTGATATCACAGTGGCCTGCATTTGTTTGAGTAGAGAGGCCGATGCATAAATTGATCAAAGGATCGCAGATTACCTAAGGACCCTGCCATAGCAGGAAATCACAGGGAACCATTTCTGATGGCTTCTTTATTTCGGGTTGCACCATTGTAAGGCGAGTGTCAATTGGTTGGAGGCACACACCAAAGCAAATCAATTTCTGTGGGGTCTATTGGTGTGCTACGGTTAATTAACGGCTGAAAGCAGTAGCACTAGAAATACGCAAAGGTGTTGAGCGCTTGTCACATGTGTTTACGCATTGCGTTGGTAGCATTAGCATTGGCGCATTGGTGCTAAGTTTTATTTAACTTACAAATCTTATAACTCGAAATAATGCTTGTAAGAGCTGCCTGTCTACCCTCTGGTCCCTGAACCGCAGACTTCAAGAGACAGTTGATTGCGGATGATGTATTGGGTATTTGTTATCAGGAAGGATGGGGAATGGAATGCAGATGAGGCGAGTAGGACCTCACGATGCTGGACGGCAGCGTCATCGAGGAAGGTGTCCAATTCACCAGTCTTGTAAGCAGCAGTGCCGTACTCATCCTAGGGGAAGAGAAGAAAAGTTATAACGTGCGCACGCATAGAGACAACAACATACTGCTGTGCTGTGTTTGCCAATCCAGAAGTGAACATTGTAAAGCAGTTTGTCGCCACCAGGACTTCGCGTCGCCTTGCAGATGACGTAGGAGTCGCCATTATAAAAATTCCCAACCTCATCGTTGGGCACCGGTTCAAGGTTGAATTTCTACAACAAAGACGGCCATTGATGTTGATGAAACCAATTACAACCGAGAAACCGTATGGACAGCTGTAGAATGGAATTCTTACTCGAGTTATAAAATCCGAAACCTAATTGCCATCTGTTATTTCTGAAACAAAAGTAACGGATTGTGGAAGTTGGGATTACCAACCAACCTGCATCAGAAGGGAATAAACAAACGGTTTGAAAGTTCAACTGCAGAAGGGCTAGGAGTCACAGGGAAAAGGGAGGAGAAACAATCCCCTTGATCTACAGAGACTTGGACAGGAAATACACTTCGATCCCATAAATCGTACAGACCTCAAAGTTCGACCGCTAAATTTTGGCATATCATTAAGCCATTGAAGCACACAAAACCTTTCCACAGCTTTACATACTACTAGATTGAACTCGATAGCCCTGCGCACCATACCACTGTAGCTAATGAAAATGTGCACTAGTCACCTGCACGTAGTCATTTGCATTTGCCTTGGATCTGTATTCCATTATACCGCATAGGAACAGGACAAAAAATAACCGAAAAATGCAAAAAACCCACCTTAACACGCCAGACCATGAGGAATTGCGACTTTGCCCTACCGACAGACTCCCAACACTTCTCCGTCATTGCGGACTCCTCTGAAAAGCACAAAGAGGGGACGGAGATAGATAGAAAAGGCAGACGATCAACTCACTCTTGACTTGTCTATCGGTTGAGGAACCAAAAAGCCATGTAAAGCCTTCGGAATCCGTAAGACGCGAACGACATCGGGTCACCCTCCGCCCACACCTCGACTGGAGTTTCACCATTTCAGATACTCACGGGCCGTGAAGTGAGAGTCTCTTCTGACATTTTGTTCCCTCATAAGAAACCGTCAGTGGATAACGCGCCTCAGTATGTCTTGAAGCTGAAAGAGCGCCTCCGGAAAGTGTTTAACGCTGCGTGCAGACAGCTGAAGGAAGCATACGCTAGGCAAGAGAGGTCCCACGATAGACAGAGTCGAACAACCGTCTTTAATGAGGGAGATTTGGCGCAATTGCATAGACCCATTCCGCGCCAGGAACCCATCGGAAATTCTACCACCCCTGGAGCAAGGGACGCTACCGGTCAATCAAAATCCTGTTGCCCACGCATTATGTCATTCGGAGTGCGGAGCTCGTTACTCAACCTCTAACAGTACAAGATAGCAAGATTAGGCCATACACGGGTCTGCCCTTAGTAGGTTACGAAGACGAAGTCTGTACGTTGGCAGTATAGAGGAAGTCGCATGACGGAAATCTACTGGTCAGTACTGGGGTTGATGCTTGAAAAAGAAGGAGGACTGTGTAAAATATATTAGCTTTTAAGTTGACATTGAAAGGAAGGGGGAATCCGTCTCTGTGTAATATCTGCTATTCGGCTCACCTGTAATCCTATCCCAGATCTTCCTGTAATCATTGCCTAATAAATCTACTCCAAATAACTCTCTCTTAAAGTCCGAGATTCAAGGACATGAGGGTAGGCAGGTAGCTCCTACAAGACATTATTGAGGCATTATATTTCCTCAAAACTTTTCCGACTCAATTAAGCGACAGCTTCTTCTTCTTAGGACTCTCCATTCGTCAACATGGGGAGTGAATACTGAAATATTTTTCTTGCAGCAGTAGCGAGATGTTCACTAATGGCACCGCCACTCGCAACGACAATTAAATAGATGAAACCCTTGATGGTCAGTGACCTTATGGTTTGTGCGTTAATTTTTGGTTGTCTCACTCTAGCCAGTCTCCGCGTTATTTATAATTAAATTGGGTTAAAATAATGACAATCTTCATATTTGTGTATTTCTGTTAATCAATGGTGCGTTGTTAATTTTGCATGAATTTGAAGTTTGAAAATAATTTGAAATTATGCCCCATTTCCCGCTAGTTCTGAAAATGGATTTGCCTTTGACCGGCTCAGGTCTCGGACCGGCGGGTGGTGATTTGGGCAGTCGTAAGTTTTGCATATTTTTGGACATATCTGATAGGGAATACACGTATTAAATTTTACTGCAACGAGATCCTTAATCGGACCCAAGGATCGGGGGGTACGCCAGTTATTTCAGTTCACACTGATTAATGTAGCCATATCTGTCTTGGAATTTAACAAAGAAGGTACGCACCTTGCCTACGGAAATTCCGACGGAATTTTAAGCATCCTCGAGCTGGGCCAAAGTGTTAGATATATTGCATCTCACCTTTAGATTGTAGAAATCGGACATTGGTTTTTCTACTCACGCGTGTTCAAAGCCTTACCAGTCTTTCTTGAGTCATGAACCTGAATTCGACTGTCTTAAGTCTCAAGCGATTGAGGAAAAGCTTACTTTTATTCGGTGGGTCAACTGTTGCGGACCTTCCCATTTTCTTCTTTCTGCAAACGGTAAGCGTCTACTGTGTGACCACCGGTGTCAACGTTTCGATATGTCTAAACATCCATGTACTTTTCTTAAATGTGGAAACCAGAACGAACCATAAAACTCTGGAGGGTAGCAGAAGTTCCTCTTCGAGAGATGGATAATTTGAACTTTCCAACAGAATCTGGTTCCCGCAAAAAGGTCGCTATACGTTCCAACTCAGATATCAAGGTACCTCGATGGAAGTCTCTGCCGACGGAGAATAAAGTCGTTAGAGTTTACAATAAGAAGGTTTATGCCAGGGGTCATGGCTTTTCTTTGACAGGATTAGCCCTTTCTCTTGATCAACAAACGTTTCTGTCGTCGGATCCGCTGCGGATAAACCTTTGGCACTATGATGTTGACTACGAGGCGTTCAGTACCCTTTTATGACTTACGTCCACATTCATGTTTGTACCATTTATTTGTTTTGCCTTCCAAAATTCCGATCTCCCTTACTCACCACTTAATTAAGCCATCGTTGACCTGATGCCTGATCGCATCGAGGATATCACGCATCTTATCACGAGTTTGGCGTCATCACCCTCCTCGCCGTCATTGTTTGCCTATAGTACCAATCGTGGTTCCATACGGGTCTGCGACACTCGTAACACCGCACTTTGCGATAAACCTGCGTTGGGTAGGCTTTCCTTTCACGCTCATAATCGCTTCTCACTTTTAGCCATCGACAACCTTCCGGCTTCCGAGCAAAACGTCATTGTTATTCTCCTTAGTTCCATTGCCGATTTGAAGTTTCTTAACAATTCGGATCGATTTATAGTTTCTCGGGACTTTATGTCGGTCAAAGGTAACCGCATCATCTTTGTTCTAACCTCTGCAGTTTGGGATTTGGCAAATACAACGGCCCCTGCTGAGGTCTACCCAGTACAGTCACATCTGCGGCCGTATTTGAGCAGTATCTATGAGACTGAATTGCTCTTTGATGATTTTAAACTCTCCCTCTCCTCAGACGATAGGTAAGTGTGTGTTCATCTGAAATAAACTTATTTCCTATAGGTTTGTAATTACGGGGTCCTATCAGTCGGATATACGCATAGTCGACAGATTGTTGGGTGCTTCCGGTATTTACAATGTTAAGATGGAACCGGATGATTCTCATCTCTATTCGGGTTTTTATGGTCATTCTCCCGATGGAACAGCACCGGACTCGGCCACAGCCCCTTGGCCGCGTCCTCTGAGTGCAGATATATCAAATGAGCCCACGGAATCTGAGGCCATTAGTATTGCCGGAAGATCTAGGGATCTGCCCATTACTTCGGTTTTCTCACCTGCCTCTGTGAAGAAGTGGATCAGCGTGTCGTGGTGTCCTGGCTCTCTGGTTGTCGCTGCCTGCCATGCTGATGCTATTCACATAATCGAAGGTATGAATGAGGATGCCGCCAATGTCCACGGTGACGGAAGTGGAGGTGGAGGTGGTAGTGGTGACGGAGTTGTTTGAATTGTATATCCCCTATTCTCCGATTCCCTCTTCTCTTCCGCAGTCCGTCTTTCTGCGAGAATATTTTTTATACCAACGAAATTCCACCATCTTTTCCACCGGTGCCGTTCAGATGTCACACTCATGCATACAAACACCAGTCTAC